ATTGTTTACCCCACCAAGAATATTTAAATACACTGAACCATGTGTTCAGCTTTAATGGCTGTACTCCTAAGATTTACGGAGGAAAAAAACGTGAGAATGAGTTTAGTATTCAGCTCTGACTGATTAAACGCGCAATTACTTCATTGCTCCTTACAAACAGGTTACACTGAGTGGAGCGGTTGACCGTTTCAAGATGGCGGCCCTACTGCTCGTCAGCGCCAATAGGCGATAGCGGTCAATGCTGTATTTAGTGTTTATATGATATCTATGGTAGCACCATAGATATCATATAATCACCGTGCTACATGGGAAATGAGACGGAGGGAAAACAAGAGTTTCCTTCAATAAAAACGCTTTTTGTTTGCAACACAAAACGCTACCAGAGTGAAGCTGCACAACAGAGAAAACCAGGATGGAAGAGACTATTTCAGAGGGAAATTCCTGTCATTTCTCCAGTAAGTTTATATTTTCATCAAAGTAAACACCGAAGTGACTAGTTCCGTTAGCTTAACGCTGTGTTCTTCAGGAGAACACTGGATGCAGATTTTATAGACAGCTCGTTGGACAAACAGATTTTTAAAAAGTGGTGAGCTATCTAACTATAAATTATAGGTTATTTTCATATTGACAGTTTGCTAAAGTAAACTCGTAAAGGTTTAAAAGGGTCTACGTATTTATATAGCACCTTTCTATCTTTTCAAGACACTCAAAAAGTCAGAGCTTTATCACATTCATACACTGATGGGACACACATCGGAGGCAATGAGGGGTTCAGTGTCTTGCCCAGGGACACTTCAACATGTGACTGCTGGAGGAATCGAACCCCCAACTGTCCCATTGGAGGATGACTTCTCTAACCACTCAGCCACAGCTTCCCCAAAGAAGACATCAGGATATGGTCTTCTTGAACTGGCTGTGGTTTATGAGTCATTAAACAACTTTAATCATAATTGTCCACAATTGAATTAAATGATTAGTTTGTTTTCTAGATGTTAAATCTCTGCAAGAATCTGCTCCATCTGCTCCCTAAACAGGTCTCTCTTGAAAATGAGTTCTTGTGGCTCAATGAGACTACCTGTATAAATAAAGTGTAAATGAAAAAAAAAGAAGCTTAAAGTTCAGTGGACAGGTCTTTTACCAAGAGCCATAGTTGCTTCACTGGTGTATAAAAAGAAGAATATGATGGAAATCAATTTAATTTGACCTCATTTTGACTTGTGCCTGAACGTGAATAAAATAGAAGCTGTGCTTGTTTGTAGGTGTGTTCTCTTCAGAAACAACAGAAATCTAATGTTAATGTTCCCACCCAGGTGCAGCTCTTCCTCTTTCTGCTCTGCGACTCCTCGTCTCTCCTGTCCGACTCGTCTCTGCAGCAGTCTGGCAAACCGTCCAGCAGAAAGTAGTGGCTGATTACGGGATGCTTGAGGAGTTTGTTTCTATGGTTACAGACATTGTCCCCAAGTTGCTCACCAGGAGCCAGAGAGCCCAACTCACTCTGGGTCTCCGATCACGAGTGGGTTTGTTTCTTCACGTGTTGCCATACAGTGTTAACTCTTTATTGTCGTGAGGGGGTTGTTCACACATACAGCTGCAGCTATAACAAGAACTTTGAAGAAATGTTTGCAACGGCACTTTGTTCATAAACAGCCAGCTGCACAAATGGAAAGTGACAAATTATTCCTGGAAAAACTGTTTCGACAATTGGGACAAGAGAGAAATATTTTAGAATTGTTAGTTGTGTAAATAATATACCAAACCATACCATTTTATTTATAGAGCACTTAAAACAGCGACAAGGCCAACCAAAGTGCTGTACAGACAGAACAACGGACAGCACACAAAGCAATATACAAAATGGGGTAAATCAGAGTATAGACATAAAAACGATGCAGATAATAAATATGACGACAAACCAGTGTGGAGCGTACAGGTTCAAAACACAGATCCTCTGGTGTTGAAAGCTACTGAATAGTAGTGGGTTTTTAAACGGGATTTGAAAACCGAGAGGGAGGGGGCCTGTCTGACAAGCAGAGGTAACTCGTTTCAAAGTCTTGGTCCTGCTACAGAGAAGGCCCTGTCACCTCTGCGCTTAAGATGAGTTCCTGGAACTATGAGGAGCAACAATTGGTCCGCTGACATAAGGGAACGTGGAGGGACATACGGTTGTAGCAAATCAGAAAGATGGGGGGGGGGGGGGGACGGCGAATCTGTTCAGCGATTTGTAGACATACAGAGTATTTGGAACTGGATTCGAAGGTGAACCGGTAACTAGTGCAGTGAGGCCAAAACTGGTGTGATGTGCTCTCTTTTGCCTGTACTGGTTAAAAATCGGGCTGCTGCATTTTGGACCAGTTGTAGTCGTGCAATGGAGGTCTGACTGATACCAAACCGGAGTGAATTGCAGTAATCAAGCCTAGATGTAATGAATGCATGTATTACTGTCTCCAGGTTATTTTTGGACAATATGGGCTTCAGTTTAGACATCCGCCTCAGTTGAAAGAAACATGATTTAACAATCATGTTTACATGATTGTTAAATCATTTTGTTAAATCGTTTTGTCATCAAGATTTGTGACTCTTTGTTTTTCTGACAGGGTTAGAGCGGAAAGGTCGATGCAGTGGTTTGTGATTGTGTCGTTGGGAGGGAACAACATGACTTCAGACTTCTTTTCATTGAAACTTAAGAAGTTTAAAGCCATCCAGTCCCTGATGTCAGCCAGGCAGTCGAGCAGAGGTTGAATAGAACATGTACCATTGTGTCTTAGGGGGAAGTAAATTTGACAGTCATCGGCATAGAAGTGAAAGGGTATGTCGTGTTTCCAGAAAATAGCACCAAGTGGCAGCAGGTATAGAGAGAATAGGAGGGGACCCAGGATGGACCCCTGTGGAACCCCCCATTTAAGCTCTGTCGCTGCAGAACAAAAATCCTTGATGGAGACACAAAAGGATCTGTCAGCAAGGTAAGATCTGAACCAATTGAGGGCTGACCCTGTGATGCCCACCCACTGCTCCAACCTAGCAATGAGGATCTCATGGTCGATGGTGTCAAAGGCGGCTGTGAGGTCCAACAGGACAAGCAGCACAGAATCACCGATATCTGTTGATATGAAGATGTCATTAAAAACCTTCAATAGGGCAGTTTCAGTGCTGTGGAGAGGTTTAAAGCCAGATTGGAATAGCTCTAAGATGGTGTCAGAGTCAGTCAGAGTCAGAGTTTCTTTATTGTCATTCGCACCTCATGTGGTACATGTGGTGGAGCGAAATTATGTACACAGGGTCCCAGTTACATCCAACAATAAAATGTATAAGAAAAACAGTAATAACATCTAAGATATGAACTAAGAAAAACATCAACTAAATATACACTAAGCACTCATAACATAAAACATTGAACATCAGCACAAACATGAACATGAGTCTGTGAGCAGATGTGCACGCATGAACACATCAACATTGAAACAGATCAGCAGCAACATGAAACAGATCAGCAGCAACATGATATGGTTTTTCACAGTGATTATTCTAGTTAGAGATTCATGAGTCTAACAGCCTCAGGGTAGAAGCTGTTCCTCAGTCTAGTGGTTCTACACTTAATGCTCCTTAACCTCCTTCCTGAGGGGAGTGGGGCAAAAAGTGTGTGTGCTGGGTGGGTGGGGTCCTTCATGATGCAGGTGGCCCTCTTCCTGCATCTGGAGGTGTAGATGTCTGTGATGGTGGGGAGACTGATTCCAACAGATTTCTGTGCAGCCTTCACCACTCTCTGCAAAGCTTTTC